CTTATCTCATAGTAGCCAATTATGGATGTTGTACTTATACAATGATTTTGAAAATTCAAAGTTGGGTCACGTTACAGCTTGAAAGTTTGGAGACTGAACAACATAATTCTGGCTGGAATGTGTTTATTTTATTTTTTTTAAGGATCAATGGGGAAATCTGGGAGTAACTGATGATTATTGCAGTGTTAAATCTTAAATGTTCATGGCAAGGTTGGTTATGATGTTAAAATCTTTGCTGCTGGTCCACTGAGGCAAAAATTTCAAAATCTCCCTATGTCAGTCAAATGTGTATCTTTCTAGTTTCTTCTCTTTTCCCTTGATCCTCCTCAATTTTAAAATTTTGTAATAAATAATACGATTTAACAGTTAAAGAAACTTTGGCTAAAGTATTAGGTTGTCTTGGAGTTATTTTTTTGTTATGTAGCTATATTACTATATTTTTATTAATAGACCAAATGCTGTCTGATTTCCTGACAAAACTCTGATGTTTTGCAGGGTTTGCTTATAACATCCCCTGAAGCTGTTAATCAATCCTTGATGCATGAGCATGGTCATCATAGTGGGCATGACCATAAGATCGATATGGATCACCCGATTCTAGCATTGATTATGGCTATTTTATCCATCGCTGTAAAAGATGGGTATATTTATTTTATTCTATGACTTATCCAATCTATTGAAGCTTGGCTAGCTCCTATCACTTTGCTGTTATCCTTTTGGATTATAGTTTAGTACTTTAGTTTGGCCTTCCCTTTGTTTATAGTCTTATATGCTTCTTCAATCACTATCTGATAATCCTGTTTTGTATTTCAATGGATCTCATCCACCCTTATTGATATTAATATTTTCTATTATTGTTGCAGTCTTTTTTGGATAACAAAGAGAGCTGGGGAAAAAGAAGGCAGTGGGCTAATGATAGCAAATGCATGGCATCATAGGGCTGATGCTATCTCTTCTTTCGTCGCTCTTATTGGGGTAGGAAGAACTGCCTATTGTGAATGTGTAGCTTATAGATGAATTTTAATCCCCACAGCTAGAGGTGGCCAGTGGGCCGGGTTGGACCCAGCCCACCCTAACTCGCACGGCTGGTGGGTCACGTGGGTCCAACCCGGTTTCAATCCGGCACAGCCCGGCACAGCTCGGATTTAATCCGGGTTGTGTCGTGGGTCCAAAATTTTCGACACAACCCATTTCAACCCAGCTCAGTTTAACCCGTTTGATTCGACCCAAATCGCACAACCCGTTTTGACTCATTTAATTCGACACACCTAGCCCGTGAACCCACCTAACCCGACCCACCTGGCACAACCCAGCCCGCACGGCCCACCCGCACGAATGACCCACCCAACCCGCACGAGCCAACCCACCTAACCCGCACGCATGACCCACCCAACCCGCACGCATGACCCACCCAACCCGCACGGCCGGCACAACCCGCACGGCCCGCACAACCCGCACGGCCCGCACAGCCCGCACAATTCGCACGACCCGCACGGCCCGCACGGCCTAACATCCATTTTAAAAAAAAAAACGGCTAGTTTTTTGTATCTAACGGCTAGTTTTTTGTATCTAACGGCTAGTTTTTTAAGTGTATGATCATCCATTCTATTTTTCCTATAAATACCAATTCCATTTCACTCAAATTTCCACACAAATTCAAGCTTTCTTTCTCTCTTACTTAAAAATTCTTATTGTTCTCAAATTCTCAAGTGTTATATAGAGTTATATTTTTGTTAAAAAAAATCTCCTTAATATTATTATTAGTATTCTTAAGATTCTAAAAAAAAAAAGTTCTTCTCCATATTATAATTAGTAATCATACAAAAAAAAAATGAGCTCAAGAGGAGGAATGGGAAGGAGTCAAAGTGGTGGTCGAAGTGGTAGCCAAAGGAGTGGTGGTGCAAATTTTTCGTATGAAATTAATACGGAAAATTTAAACCAATTTGTCAATGAATATGGAGATTATGGTTTAGGAGATGGGCAAAATATTCAAACGTCTCCACCACAACATTTCTCCCACCAATCATCAAGTTCAACTATGCCACCTCCATCGCAACCAACATCTCAACCTTCATCTCAAGGTAATTTCTAATTAAATTTTTATTGTTATGAATATTTAAAAAAACTATTATTAATGATTATAAAGTTAGTTTAGTTTCCAATTTTCTATGATTTACAATTAGTTAATTACCATGAAAAATGCGTTTAAATAAGTATAATTAAAATATTTAAAATTTAAAAGCTTATTTTCATGAATAGCATTTAAAAATTAATTTTAATAATTTGATTTATGAAAGGTGGTGGCGGTGAAAGTAGAGGTCGAGCACATTTTTCTTGGGTGTGGAAACATTTTGAACGAGTTGAGGTCACACCCCCGGGATGGCAACCTGGTCAACCAAAGAGGTTCACGTGTACATGCCTAGTTTGCAAGGCGCTAGGTGCAAATGTCAAGTCATATAATTGGAAAACGGGAGATGGAACCGGAACCTTGAGTCGGCATTTGCAAAATAAACACGACTTGTTCGAAAATGGCCCCCGTCCTTCGGGGGGTGGCGTCCAAACACAATTGGGTGGATACATGAACCAACCCGGCGGAGGTACACCTTTCATTTATAATAAAGATAGAATGATTGATGAAATGAGTACTTTAGTTATTGCTAATGAATACCCTTTTAGTTACGGTGAAAATGCAAACGTTGAGCATTTTAATAAAGTTGCATTACAACCTGCATTTACTCGTGTCCCCCGAAATACCCTAAGACGTTATACACAAACTTCTTATTATAAGTATAGGAGTGGTTTGATTGAATTATTTCGTACTTTTGATGGTCGTGTTAGTTTTACAAGTGATACATGGACTTCTAGTTTTGGCGAACCTTTTCTTTGCATTACTGCTCATTGGGTGGATGATGATTGGTTTATTCAAAAACGTATACTATGTTTTCAAGCTATGGAAGAAAGGCATACCGGTTTTAACATCAAAGTTCGTATTTTGGATTGTTTAAAAGAATTTCACTTGAATAATAAAGTTTTTTCTTTGTCTCTTGATAATGCAACTGCAAACACAAAGTGTATTGACTATTTGAAAAATGACTCCGAGTTGAATTTGTTGTTGGGTGGTAGTCTCTTGCATGTTAGATGTTGTGCTCATATTTTGAATTTGTCTGTTCAAGAGGGTCTCGCTGAGTTGCAACCATTGCTAAACCCAATTAGAACAGTTATAAAATGGATTAGGATTACTCAGTCAGTTAGAAAAAAGTACATAGCTATGTGTAAAGAGAGAGGTCTTAAGAAAAGACAATGGTCTATTGATACCCCTACCCGTTGGAATTCTACTTTCAAGTTGTTGAGTGATGCTATAAAGTATCGTGATATTTTGACCCAACTTTACAATGAGACTCGTGTTGATCCTACTGAGTTAATAACCGAAAGTCATTGGACTAATGCTTCTTTTGTTCGTGATGTTTTAAATGCTTTTGATAGTGCAACTCATATTTTCTCTTATATTTATGAGCCTAACGTTCATTTAGTCATAATTGAGTGTGTTAAAGTTGTTCACACCATCGAAGAGCATATGAAGATTGATGGACTTCGTCCCGTTCTTGATAGCATGAAACGTAAGTGGCATACTTATTTTAGTGAATTTCCAATCATTTATGGAATTGCTGCTATTCTTGACCCCGGTGTCAAAGCTGAAGGTTTGGAAAATCTTTTAGAATTTTATATACAAGTTTAAGTATCGATTATGATGTTAGTGAATATATTAACAAATGCAAATCTGTTTTGGGAGACCTTTATGATCATTATGCATCTATTTATGGTTTTGATTTGGCAACACCAACTACTACTAGCACTTCCGATTCTAGATTTGGTTTTCTTGATAAAGTTATGAAAAAAAAACACAAAGCATCTACATCATTCTCATCATCATCTTCTTCAACACTTGCTATTAATGATTATTTGTCATATCAACATGAGACCAACAACAACTTTCAAATTATAAAATGGTGGCAAGAACATAAAAAAAGTTTTCCTATATTGGCGAGAATTGCAAAAGATATACTTGCAGTTCCCGCTTCATCTGTTGCTTCCGAGTCTGCTTTTAGTGCAGGTAGAAGAGTGTTAGATGAAAAAAGAACTCGCTTAACTCCGGAAAGCATTCAAATTTGTGTTTGTAAGAAAGATTGGGATCAAGCTGAAAGAAGAACTCAAGGTTTAAAGGAAGACGAAGACGATGAAGATGATCCTGTGATGATATTGGAGTCGTCAACGGATGATGCAGCTTCCGGGGATGATGATGCAACAAACATGGGTGGCTAGAAAAGTCTAAATCAGGTACGCTAAGAACTACGTGGGCTTTGATTCTTTCGGGATACGTAGGCAACTTATTTTTCGAAAATTACAATTTAATTGCAAAATTAAATTTTAGTTTTCTAAAGATAGGTCCAAGCCCCCCCCCCCCAAATTTCAAAAGAAGTACAATATAAGAACTACGCTGGCTTTGATTCCTTATTTTATAATATAAGGATACGTAGGCATCTTAATTAAGAGCAAGCCATCAAATTGTTAATTTTGTAAAAATTAAAACACCACACAACCCACCCGACCCTAACCCACGAACCCACCCGACCCTAACCCACAAACCCACCCGACCCTAACCCACAAACCCACCCGACCCTAACCCACTAACCCACCCGACCCTAACCCACCTAACCCACAAACCCACCCGACCCTAACCCACTAACCCACCCTTCGACCCACCCTAACTCACTAACCCACCTTGACCCGTCTAACCCACGAACCTAGCTCGACCCACCCATGACCCGTCTAACCCACAAACCCAGCTCGACCCACCCACGATCCGTCTAACCCACAAACCCAGCTCGACCCACCCACGACTCGTCTAACCCACGAACCTAACCCTGGTGTGTCCAACTTCTCCGACCCAACCCACGACCCGGCCCACCCTACCCTACGTGTGTCGTGCCGTGTGTCATGAAACCCCAACCCGCGACCCACCTAACCCTAACCCAGCTCGCACGACTCGCACGGTGGACACCTCTACCCACAGCCTAAGTTTATTTCACAACTTTTAAGTTTTCAGTACCAGCATCATTCCGATATCAAACTTCTGCAGTAATTGAGTAAAGAAAAGCCAGCAAGCTTGGCGTGGTAAATTAGGCAGATCTCACACTTATAGATACATGACATGACTGGTTAGCATACATGGAGTATATTATCCTACATAGTCTTTGAAACTGATGCCAGAAGCTTCAGCGTTTATTTTGTGTATTAAAGCAGGGCCTCTGCCACTTGTCTTACTCTTATCCAGCATTCTATTGTGCTACTCAGCACTGCTCTCAGTTGACAAGTGCTACTTATTTATTTAGCCTCGGTTCATGTATTGCAAAATAAAACGCTAGTGCTGCTTACTGTTACTTTGTTAGCTCTCAGCTATTTGCCCCTTACCTAGGCACCTACCATATTATTCTCTATTTTTTCTGGAGATCATTATTAGTTATGTGCCATTGTGCCAAGGTACATTTGTCTCATGACTGTCATTTGTATCAAGCTGGCAAAACCTTATGCTGCTTTTTCTTGCCACTAACCCAAGTCAGGTTGACTTGTGCAAGGTTCCAGTCTGGTAGGGTGCCTTTGCCTTAGCCTCAAAAAAAAAAAAAAAAAAAAAAAAAAAAAAACAAGAGGAAGACCCTATCTGCTACAGGTTATAAGCTTTTGAAAGTTGGTATTTTTCTCAAGAATGTTACTGGAAGAGTTATAGACTTAACTGTTCAAAGAGGGCTGGCTTATAACCTGTTGTGATCATTACTCCTATCATTTCACTTACAACTTTTTTTGAACCAATCATTTCACTTACTTTATTATAATATACAAAGTACAAAATATGAAGTATAATATATCATCATTTTAAAAATTTGTTATGATTATGAAATTAATGACGTAAATAATGTGATCATATTGCATAGTTTTGTTCTTTTGACTGACAGAATTGTTGCTAACAAGTGTCTTTTAATTTTGTCATCAGGAGGATCCATTCTTGGTCTAAAGTTTTTTGATCCCCTTGCTGGACTTCGTGTGTCTGGCATGATTTTAAAAGCAGGTCTGGAAACTGGTTACCGTAGGTATGGTATTTGTCAACCTTTAATAGATTGATGTCTAGATTTGATCTGGATTTCTTTATTTCTTTATTTTTATAACAAGTAAAATTGGTATTTAAACTTTTAAAATATAAATTTTGATGGAGAAAAGGCAAAATAAGAAAGACTAGTGGAAGTTGTGCAGTTTCTAACCTCGAACGTATTGTAATTCCCCCCCCCCCTTTATTCAAGATGTGATCTTAAAATTGATGATAAGTATGATGTATGAATGTCGATTAGTTACATTGAAAAGTAAAACGCATTACACAAAGAATTGTTTAGATATTTTTTCGGTAAAAATAAAATAAAACTATTCGAGTATTTTTATCTTATTGTGTATGATATATTTTATAGCTTGTTACTAGTTTGGATAAGTTTATGAATTAATCAAATCAATTTTGGGCCCCTTTATACTACTAGTCTACAACCACTGTTTATCAATTTTTTACTAGCATGTATTGATATACGTCTTTCGATATCCGAAATCCAAAATATTTTGGAAATTCTTTCATATTTCCTTAATTCTTTTAACAAAAACTTTTGTATACATCCGGTTTACACTAATATTAGTGTGCATCGAGCAGTATAAGGGTAACTTTTAGCTATTTTTAGGGTAACTTTTTGTTTTTTTTGGTAACTTTAAACATAATACAATTTTTATATAAATCAACAACAAGAAAAGTTTTATAAAGGTAATTTAATTACATTCAATCACTAATAATTGATTTTTAGTCATTTAAAATGTGATTCTTTACTAATAAAACGTAGATAGTTTTTATTTGAATTGGGTTACTTAACGCATATTGGGGTAACTTTTATTCATTTTAGGGGTAACTTTTAATCACTTTAGGTTATCTTTATAATGGATGTACAATAATTATTGTACACCCGATTTTTTTAAAAGTTTGTGTTCTTTTAATATTGCACCAAAAGGGTTGGGCACAAATTTTTTGGTAGTGGGAAAAAGGAAGAGAGAGAAAGGTAAAAGTACAAAATTGCCCTTGTGATTGTAAACATAAATTAAAAAATTATGTATTATAGGTAAGGGTATATAGGGTATTTGTAGTGTAAACACAAATATTTGCTTCCAAAGAATGGATATGGTGCAATGTTTGTGAAACTTCCTTATAAGGCAAGTAGAGCAATAATTAAAAAAAATGGAGGAAGTATATCTGACGAAAACCGAATAATTGAGTAATTATTGGTTCGGATATACGATCCGAAATTAATATTGGTTGGGCATCCTAAATTATCGGATCGGATGCTCATTGGATCTTCGGGTATTCAAATCTTCGGGTATTTTGTTTAGCCCTGTGTAAAACCATCAACGATCTGAACTAAGTTGTCATTTGTAAAATTTATACTATTAACAGACATGTTGCTTGAATCGCTTCTGAGAAAACTTATTGATCTTCCACAGTTGAAGTATGATTTTGTGAAGATTGAGTCTAGGGTGTTAATTCAAGTTGACAAGCATGTGGATAATATATTGGCCAAGTTGATTAACACTTTTTCGTTCAAAACTGTAGTGTTTTAGAGCTGGTTGATGCTGCGATTCCACAGCAGATGTTGGACCGTCATCAAGAAACGATTCTACAGGTTGAAGAAGTGAAGGTAAATTTTATCCTTATAAATTCAAGTTAAGGTGTAGTTCCTTTGCAAATCTGAATGAGTGGGCAGTTAGTGCAGAGCTAATCAGCTTACTGCTGCATGAGAATAGTTACCTAGGCTTCTTCTAGGTCACCTGAGAGTGTTACGGTATACGACAGAACAACCACGTGGTCATTTAGATCTGTGATTGAGGACTCATTTTGCTCTTGATTGTGGTGGTCATGTAGAAACCGTTTCTAAAGCTTTTACCAAAAGAGTTGCAATGTCATTGTCATAATAGCTACTAGTCTACTACTCTTGATATTCGAATCTTGACATCTTAGCTTGGGGGTTTGGGACCAAGAAAAATTCATTCCCATATGTAAAGGCCATTATGCATTGTACTTAGACCTAGCAAAATAGACCCGACCCAAAAGACCCAATTTTTACTCAAAAGTGATAACCCGAAATAAATTTAACACCCAAAATAATGAACCAAACCCGACCCGAAAATTTCAAACTAGGAACCAACCCGACCTTAAATTGACCTGACCCAAATTCAACCCGACCCTAAACCACCCCAATTGAATAAAATTGATAGTTGGTGTATTGATAGTCTGTTAATGATTCAAATCACCATCCAAAAGTTGCTGATTCTTTTAATTTCAAATCGCATCCTAGATACATCTATAATCCTTATGTTGCTCAGACGTACACATAATTTATTTGCTAAATGATACCGTTGGTTATGTGTTTAGGGATGTCACCACCTGAGGGGAAGAATGGTTGGCTCGTTTTTGCACCTTGATGTACACATAGAGGTATAATACCTTCTCAATGTTCTCTAATTCAACTTGGACATGTGCATCATGATATTTCTGGAATTGTTGTCAACAAGCTATTGATAATGTTTAGTGATTTTACAGCTTGTTTATTTGAATTTTATCAATCAATTAATGCCATTTTGTCCATGTAACAATCCACTACATTAAGTGCCACTGTTAAAAGATAAAAACATAACTTTAATTCAATGGATGACATAAATGATAAAATTCACCGGTGCCAAAAAGAAAAAAAAAAAAAAGATAAAAAAAATAATAAATAAATAAATAAAAAGAACATCTATGTACACCAATATAATAAAAATTAGTGCTTTTTACTCACTAATTACCTTTATTTCATCAATACTACTATTGTCATGTTTAAAGCTTTGTTTGACTGAATTGCATTTTAAATTTAATTTTTACTCCATCAATTATATTAAATAGATTGTCTTTTGGTCATACTAAAAAATTGGATGTGAAGCATTGGCCATCAATGGGTTTTTTATGGTAGTCCTTGATTTCACAGGTTTCTTTTCTAGTCTTTTTGGTGAGTTACAAGCTTGGTGATGGTGCATAATTTTCCATTTGGAAAGTAGCCTAAGAGTAGAGATGCCTTCTCAAATTGTTGCATTGAATTAATCTTTTCTATGTTTATGCTTGCTAGGAGCTTTCAGGGTTGATTGGAAGATAGGGTAGCTCATTGATTTGCCGAGCACTTATAAGTTGATAGTCAAAATAAAGAGTTTGAGTGGAAGATTCTTGTGTTGATTTGTCTATAACCTTTATGGCATGTTTAAAATTCCTCTTGTTCTCATTATTTCCTTGTCTCAAAAAAATTTGGAGGTGAATATCTTTCGTATAGGTGAAGCCTTTAGATTGGAACTTAGTGTTGGACAAATTCAATGATACTGAAATTACTGATGAACCATTGAACCCATCAAATCTCTGCCCAAATAAGGCCATTTTTATTAATGAGTCTCTGATGCTGCTAATAGCAGATTGAGATCACTTATATTGTATTATATACTTATGGTAGTTTTTCCTACTGTTGAGACAACAAATCAACATAAATCATTGTTGAAACAACATATATCATCTTATGAATAAAGATACAATAGTACCCTTTTTTTCTTATTTTTATTTTTTTTTTTATTTTTTTTTTTTGTCTCAGTGCTTCTTATTTACTCCGTACTGTTCTTACATAAATTAATGATATCCTACGTTAAGGGATTATGCCTCTTATAGAATAATATTTATATCAACGATGTGTTTTACGATTTAACATTTAGACTCAAAAGTTTATCCCAAAATCGAATCAACAACTTAGGGCATCTAACGGGCACAAAACTAGTTTTCTTATCATGTAAATCTAGGAGGAGGGGTTGGTGGTGTTTGTGATATTAAATGGCCTACCTTATTTTGTACTGTGTATTTTTTCTAGATGAGAGAAATATGTTAGTTTTTAATTTTCGTGTAATTGGCCGACCAGTGTATGTTATAGTGGATTGTATTGATAGTTCATTATATCTTTCAGAATCTAGATGAGGAATATGGAAGCTACATAGATGATGAACAAATATTTCACATACACACACTACCAGCTTCCCAAATAATTAAACAAATTCTGTACAGCATAAACCATATGCATATTAGTTGTATTAAATTGTGTTGTGCTTTTAGTTTTAAACAAATTTTCGAAATTTGAATATCCCTCATTTCCTTCAGATTAGAGTCTATGTATCCTTGAATATAGAATATGCACCTGTATCTGATTTATATTCCTGGGTCTAAGTATTTTTGAATATTATCTATCTTTGAAAACGATAAAACTTAGTTTAACTTTATGGCACAAAATTTTCGAGGCAGTGTATGCGGAGTGGATCTGTCCACTAGTCTTAGGATATTGAAGATTTCTTAAGTTGGATATGGTATGAACATGGTGTTTTTGCATCTGTTTATCTTGTGTTGTGGTTAGAGAGGAATAATAAGATTTTAAGAAGTAATTCGATCTCAATACAAATAATATATTCCTATGTTTGTTTTTGTCATATCGATATTCAGTGTGATAACTGTGATTTGCTCTTTATATTTTTCTTTTCTTTATATTTCAAGTTTTTCTTCTTCAATTCTTTATATTATGAAACTGAATCTTTTTTGTTTTCTTTGTTTACCTAGTTTGAGATCTCTTTGTTGTTAAGCTCTTTTTATCTGTTATTGTTCTTTTGTTATCTAAAATACAAAAGGGGACTTGCTGAAGGAGTGGAGAGTGAACATTGTGGATTTAAGTTGGAGCCTTGTTCTATCTCTTGCAGGTTGATCCTTTCACCAGTGTCAGCGCTGCTCACCATATCAGTGAACATGTTAGGCAGCGAATCCACGAGTCTCATCCTGAAGTGGCTGAAGTCTTCATAGTTCATACACTTAGGTATATACTTTTACTCTATTCCCATATGGGCATAACATAGATTATCTTTGCTGTTGTAATTTGAAGTATTAGCTTTGGTTTTATATGAATTAACTGAATAATGAATAAACTTTTGTTTTTTTGTGTGTGGATTGAATTGTGCTGGCATTACTGCATAGTGCTTCCTTTTGAATTGATAGTCTCTGTTGTGTTCTATGGTTGTAATATTGGACAGATAGCAAGCCAATGTCATTGACCACTCTGACTTCATTTTACTAAAGTAGTTTAGGTGAGGCAGAAGCTAGTCAAGGTAATGCAGTATGTATTAGGTGAAATACAAATGGTTGTATATTAAATAGGTTAAATAGGTAAAGTGCTAGAGTACAGAGACTATCGCGAGCTCACAGTGGTGGTGTGGGTCATACGTGTAGCCTATAACTGGAAAAATACTAAATGAGCACATTTGGTTAAGATTTTTTTTTTTTTTTTTTTTTTTGGGTGTAAATTTGGCTTAAAAAATATGCACATCATGTTTGAGTCGAGAATAAAAAAAAAAAAAAAATTGCACATTTAATTCCTAAATAATATGCGCATTCAGTCCAAAATTGTGCACGCCAAATCTTTCTCATTCTTCCCATTTTAACATCTTTCTCACTTGACCCTGGACTGATGCTTTCAAAATCTCACTGAAAACCCTTGGTTGAAAAGATTTTTACTCCAGCTGTTTGGAGAGGAAGGTTTTCCTTTAAATTTTGTCTTCGTGTAATACAAAAGTGTATGTGAAAGATCATTAATAAAATTTTTATTTTTTTTGTTATGAACATAGATAATTTAAAAGATTTTAGTGATTTTGAATATCACCCAAGTAGTCTGAAAGAGTAAAGATGGCTATATTCTTGGTTGCCTGTCTAGGAATAGGGAGCAGTGTAGCCGTGTAGGGGCTAATGTGCCCATCTAGCCTTTTTTTGCTTGGTCAAGGAAATTTCTTTTTCATAGCCGTTTTCTGAGTATCTGTTATGTAATTTTGCTGCCGATGGGTTTATTTACGTTCTACGACCACTGCAATGCAAATTCAGTTTTCTGAAGTCGCACACTTATTAGGCATAGCTGCTTCAAAGTTCAAAGTCTTCAAACTATGGCTTTTGTAACCTGTTTTAGCTTCTAAAACCAATCAAACCATTGGCATTGCACGTTATTTAGTATAGCAGTTGCTTTACCTTTATTCTCGATCCTGTTTCTTTGTGGGTTCATTTTATGTTGGAACTTCTGTTGCAGATCCTTCTATCTCCTTTAAGGACAAAGACTGAGATCATATCATCACTGATATATTCGCTTCACCCTTTCCGAAGGTAAGTGTTTTTCTTCTATTCAGCTCAGGCTAAAGCAAATATATGTTTATTTCATAAATGATTTGATAGACCAAATCAAATAAGGTCAAATTATAAAAATTTCATATCTGAAAAGTATGCTGTTTTTCTTAGCAATTGGTGTGCAAATAAGGTCTAATATCCTTTCTTCTTTGGAAGCACTTTCACAACTAGTTCAACCTAGACTGTTTCTGGCTCATTTGCCAAGCCATGTTATTAAGAAGGATATTTAAGCATAAAACATTTTGTAAATCCACATTAATGTCATGTATATTCCTCAGGTCACAAGAGATTCTGTACAAATGTCAAGGACACAAAGACAAAATGCTGATTTGGAGCGACATAACATCTTCCATACTGAGTGCTTGATTGGTTCTAAGGTGTGCTCTTTGACAGTGGATAGCGGTTCTTGCACTAATGTTGTGAACAGCAAGCTAGTTGATGAGTTTAAAAATTGCAAACTCGTGTTCATGAGCGACCATTTAAGATTTTGGGGATAAGTGAGGGGAATAGCATTAATGTTACAAAACAAGCCGTAGTCAATTTCGAGTTGGGTGAGTACGAGGATGCTATTTGGTGTGATGTTATCCCGTTGACCCCTTCTGATATCCTTTTGGGGCGTCCATGGCAATTTGATCGAGAGGTTTTGCATCATGGGAGAGAGAACATATATTCGGTCAAGTTTGGGATGAAGCGTTTCAACTTAACCCCTTTACTTCCTAAGGTGTTATAGTGGTTGGAAACATGAAACATAGAGCATTACTTTGTTTACCCAAAGTCACGAGTTCTAATCCCTTACCCAACATTTATTTTATTTTTTTTCCATTTTTTTTTAATTGAAAAATGCTATACATAGCTCTTAGGGCTACATATAAGCATTAAATTTACAGTTGAAAATCGTAAAAAGTTAAGAAATCATAAAAATATAAACACTAATTACACTGATTTACGTGCGTTTTTGTCATGAATTTCTAATTTTATACAATTTCCGAGAGTGTATTTAATGCTTATATATAGCCCTGAGGGCTACATATATCATTACCCTTTTTAATTTTATAGTTTTCTTAGTGTCCTTATTTTTATATCCTCTCTTTATTCTTTCTATGTTTAATGTCCTTATTTTTTTAATTCTTTTTTTTTTCTTAGTGTCCTTATTTTTTTTATCCTCCTTATTCTTTCTATGCTTTATGTCCTTATTTAAAAAAAAAAAAAATTCGGCTTAATGTCCTATTGTGGTATATAGATGTGTCTTAATTTTTTTTTTTTTTTTTTTTTTTTTTTTTTTTTTTGCGGTACGTAGATGTGTTTATTATTTTTTTTTTTTTCTGGCTTATTGTCCTATTATAGTACGTAAATGTGTCTTGAATTTTTTTTTTTTCTGAAAAAAAAATTAAGAGCATGATAAAAGTGTTTTAGTATTAGGTGCCCTACCATTGTTAATGTAACACCCCCGATTTACTAACTAATAATAAACAATAAAAAGAGGAAAAATAGACAACCTTTAAATAAAATTGCGGAAGCATACACCTAAATAAGAGGTATTACCGCCACACTCGACAACCTGTCAAGTGTTAAGGCTTACAAAATCCCAATAATTACAACCCAATAAATCTAAGTGAGCTATTTGGATAACTTTATAAACTCGTTATAACAAATTAATCGAAACACTTGAACTCCTTTAGCTACGACTACTTGATCAACCTGCTTAGAAAATCTTGACTGCTCACCATTAAGGACAAATTCCAAAATAGATCGTCGCAGGGCCACCATAAGAAAAAGACATGGCCGCAAACACAAATAGCACAACAAAATAACACACACGTCAGCAAAAAGCTGAGTAATCACCACATCAGAATACAAAGAATAATATAACAATTAATATAATTAACTCACTTAAACAATGTAGTTCGAAACTACATTACACATTGTACTCTGAAAATAACCTTTATCAACTCAACCTCGAATAATAATACGAACCTTTACTCAATTAACTCATAACCAATAGTGTGCCATGTTCTTTGTTCTATACCTAGCCTTGGACATGGGTAATTCGAATAAAACCAACAAGTATAAAAACTTGAATACTCCCAATAACTAGAAAACACCAGACCACATACGGGTCAATTCCCACTGTAGGGGACCATAGAAAAATAAATAATAAAGATTGTACCTCATTCTTAACTCATGATTACCATCTCCTTACCAACATGCCAAGGGCTAAGGTGTATAACGCCGAGCCTCAAACCAAGAACAAAATAAATAATTCTCAACCTTTTGATCTCATACTTGATCAAATAATCATAAACTTGATAATAAAAAGTATCTCAATTATGGCACGAGTTCCCAAATAACACGACAATTCGATCACAATATCTCAACTCTAAAAAAAAATACTAATAACCCAAATATATTCAAATCTCAACCCAAAAACAATACTCTGCATCAACAACCCTAAAACCTCAAGAAAACAATACTCCCTATAACAACAACATTAAAACCCTAGAAATAATTGTACAATAATTTATATACAACAAAGTAATATGATATTCAAATAAAATCAAATCAAAATTATACAATATCATAATAATTAATCATGTATACAAGGTGTTTCTGGAAACAGAATGCTCCTGGGAGTCTTAGGGTAGTAAGGCTAATCAAGAGGTCCTAGAACTATATCCAATGAATGTCCGAATTTCCCTCAGCTATGCCTTGCTGTCTGAGAGCTAGGCCTGCAAAAGAGAAAGAAGGTTAACTGCCCCGGGGGTGTGACCCGGGAAAGCCCCTCTGATGCTTAAGTCAGCGAATGTACTTTCTAGTGAGAGAAGTAGAAAGAGTACTTTAGAGAGAGAATGTAGAGAGAGAAGATTAGAGAATTAGGAAAAATTTACCATCATCAATGATTGGAGAGCTATTTATAGATGTACTTTCAGGTGGCAGAATTTGTACTTAATTGGACAGATTAGGGGTAAATCCGTACTTTTCTTTGATTAATGATGGGCTGGATCATGGAGGGGTATTTTCGTAATTCCAGGTCACTGGGCTTAGGACAATGGACTAGGCCCAAAAATTTAGCCCCACGCGTGATGTGGGAACGAGATCGCATGAAGTTCGGATATCACGCGGAATAGAGATGAAAGAAGTTGTCACATATGTTGAAGTAAATCTCGAAGGGTATCTGAGGGCTAAAATGAGCCCCAAGGGTATTTGAGGGCTAAAAAGAGCCCCAAGAGACTTGCAAGGGTGAAAACCAGCCCCAAGCAATGCATAGAAAGTACTTTAATTCAGATGACTGAGCAGTTTTGAGAGTTAAGCCTGATGATGGCTTAGGGGTAACTGATGAAATTTCCATTTCAGGATATTTTCTTCAGGCCGAGCCCCATGTATTTTGCTGAGGGCATGTCTTGTTTCCAATTTTGACTGAGCTAGGTATTTCTAGAGATAATGTGATGATGATTTCCTGCTAATTAAGCTGGTAACTAAGCTTAATCCTTCAATGGTTACTTTCTGGGCTCAAGCATTACTTAGGCCCATTTGAACCAGGGTTTTGAGGAGTTGCCATCTCCTTAGCTTGAACTTATGAACTCCCACTATACTTGCATTTTCTTCTCACTCTTCTCATTTGCCTTAGAGAAATTCTCAAAAAATTCTCCCAATTTTCTCCCAAGTTCTTGAGAGTTTGAGTGTTCAAGTCACATCACCCAATTTCACATCAACAAGTTCATCCAAGTTCATCAAGATCTTCAAGAGGTATGTGAAAATTCTTCACTTTTGATTCGAATTTGTAGATCCAAAAGCATGTCTAGGCGTTTATGTATTTGTAATTTTTGAATTAGGATGTGAATTTTGGGGTTCAATTTTTTGGCTAGGGGTTATTTGAATTTCGAATATATATATATATATATATATATATATTACTGTTATGTCGAGGAGAGGGAGTGAGTGAGGGAGGGTAGTGAGCGCCAATTTGAGAGAGTTGGGGTTTGCTCTTGGCCGAGAGTTGGGGTTTGCTCTTGGCCGAGAGTTGGGGTTTGCTCTTGGCCGAGAGGGTTGAGGCGCGGCTGAGGGGGTCGCTGGCGCGTGAGTAGAGCTGAGGAGAGAGAGATGCGGGGGAGAGATGCCAAATGGGTATACACGCGGCTGAGGGGGTTTTCGCACAGCCGAAAGGGTTACCCGGCGTTCGAAAAGCCTATCCGAGAGGGTAGCTGAGGGTGAGGAGAGATGAGAAGGGTGAGGTCGAGGGAGTACGCCGCACAGCCGAGGGGGCGCTGTGCGGCTGAGGGCGTTGGTATGTGAGGCCGAGGGGATTTAAGAGAGTGAGAGCTGAGTAGAGATGAGTGCTAACTGAGGGGGTGAGACGCGAGAGAGCCGAGGGGTTTGCGAGCCTAGCCGAGGGGTTTAACTTGGTGATTTTTCGGGTTTAATTATATGAGGCATAGCTGAAGAGAGTTTAATTAAGAGGGAGAGCCGAGGGATGGTGTGAGTGCTGAGGAATTTATGCTATGCCTAGCGTAGGAGTAGGCGATTGAGTGAGAAAAGAGATGGCCGGGGGATGGCGAGGCAGCGAGGTTGAGGGGAGAGCAGGTTTGAGGGAGTGAGTGATTGCCGAGAGGGTATCCTTAGGCCGAGAGGGTATTCGGCTTGGTAGTGGGATATTTTTGGGTTTTTACTTAAGTTTTTTTTTTGTTTAATTAGGTAGGTAGTGCGAGAGGGGTGCGAGATAGAGAGAATTTCAAAGATAGGTTGAGGGCGTCAAACCGGGGTGAGGAAGGTGTGAGTGTGAGATGCGGACTGCTATCCGAAAGGGTGGAGTGAGGCCGAGGGTGTAATGTGTGCTGGGGGGTGAGAAACGGTGGGCAGGCCTGGGGCATGAGTGAGTGCTGAAGGGTTGCTTTAACATGTGGGCTTGCCCCATTATTCTTTAGCAGATCTGACCGACTGATGGGCCGAGAAGAAAGGTAGCGGGCTAAGCATGTTTTTGTGGAGCATGATTTTGCTTATTTTTTTTACCTTGACCCATTACTTGAATTCGTTCCTCAGCTAGGCTTTTTTCTTAAAAATTTTCTAACACTTGAATTTTTGTTGATATTTCAGGAGTATTTCTCTCTGGGGTGCAATTGATTTTGCCTCGAGAAATCCTTCCGGCCTCTCTGACTAGTTGGTGAGCTCTCAATACTTAATTTTTTATGCTTCAAGTATTATGCCTCCATGCTTAGTAATTGTTTGCTATTTTTCCTTGTATGCTTGATTGTTCCTCAGCTGCGCTTTTGATGATGTTAGGCTTAGAGGTACGCTTGTTGTATTTTTGTATGTACATTGAGAATTTCTCGGGGTAGTCTTGAGTTGAGCTATGCATGTATCATGAACGACCCAGCGACTCAAGATTATCTTGACTCTCTCCCCGGCCCTTCATCTTGTGATTTGCATAAGGAAATCTGGGTGGGGGCCGGGGAGTGCTTGTAACAAATGTAATTGGTAGTAGTGTTGATTCTTCTGTTCCTTTGGATGTGCCTTATCCATGTGTGCCATCCCCACCCCCCGAGCATGATTTAGGCTTTGATTATTTTTTGTCTCCTTCCCCTTGGGAAATTTCTCTTGCTCGTGAACCGACTTCTAGAGGTTCTTTGAACAGATTGCTTATTGACGGAGTGGTGACAATGTCAAGTGAGGATGATACTTCTGCTTCTCTTGGGGCGCAGGTGACTTTTAAACCACCTGTTAGGAGAGTTAGCTCTTTTATGTGCTACCCTTCCACTACTTGGCTTAGGTCTTTGTCTGAGGGTACTAGACATTTGCAGACTAAGTACCACATTAGGGAGCCTTTTCTCATTTCTCCTCCTGGGGGTGATAGCACAGTAGATAACCCTCCCCCGGGGTG